CATCAATATCTTTCTTCAGCTCTGAACATTCATCCTCCAGTTTTCTTTTCTTGGCTGTCAGCTCAGCATTGATTTCCTCCTCATCCTCAGCCCTTTCAGTCACTTCTTTAACTTTGGCTTCCAGCTGGATTTTGGTTTTGATGAGCTGGTCACACCTTTCCTCAGCATCAGCCAAAGCATCAGCTTCCTGGTGGGAAAATGCCATTGTTAGGATACACTTTTTGAGGGAATATTGAGATACTTACCCTCATAATTCAGAGTCCTAGTGGTTTTCTAGTTAAAAATTTGGTACATGTTCCAATAGAATGATATGTAATACAGAATTGATTTTATATTGTTAGTTTTGAAACAGACTGGTTTTAAATCTAAAACCACGTGAAATCCTTTTCGATCTTCCTCATGACTGGAGTATTTATATATTTGTGCAGGGTACAGAATCCAGTATTATCTCACAATATCAAACATTGGAACAAAGTGCATATATTCAGGTTTAATCATAGGAATATCTCCCATGTTTGTGAAGTTCTGAGTGGTAATCATGTGCCAAGACGCATATAAATATGGAAGACACAATTATACTGACAGCATTCCTGTATTTATCTTTTTTCACTTTACTCTCTTTCTGGAGTAAATGTTTCTGATTTATATTTTCAACCCCACTGGCCTCAAAATACTCAGTGTCTATCAGCCTTGACTCTGTGATACTGTCACCAGCTAAGAAGAAAAAGAACTGCTGGAAAATTTGCTTCCAGGCTTCTTTTTTGCAACAGATGTCCCATGGTATTTGTTATATTTTGTCTCGGGTTTCAGTCTAACAGAAATAGTATGAAAGAAAAATAATAATATCAGCAGTGTGTGCATTCCTTCATCTTTTTAAAGCTCAAGACTCTTTAAAAAGGGGGGTATGTGGATTTTTCTATATGTCACATATGCTGCAGAGTATCACTTGGAGGATTCAGTCTTTCTATTCTGTGAATGATTTAATTTAGAAAGCACAGCATTGTAGCACTGCAGATGTAGCACATGATTTTGTGTAATGATTCATAGTGATGTAGGAGGGCAAGTGAGAATATTAAATTCTCTTTCCTCTTAGTTTGTTCAGTACTATACCATAGTAAAGTCTGTTACTATCCAGACTATTCAAGCCACCACCTAAATCAGAAAGAAAAAGTTATCTTGTTCCACTGAAGAATAAAGAGAGGAAGGTAATGTCCTCTAAAGTTGCCCTGAGAATTCTTAATTATGTGTGTGTAAGGAGAGGCACACTCGGTTTTGGAGACATGGAGGGAAAGTACTAGCAAAACAAACATTTTGGAAATAAAAGAAAAGTTTCTTGATTGTTCTGATATAAGCAGTAGGGCAGTGAAGGTAGTGGAGGGGCTAAAAAACAAGTCCTGTGAGGAGTGGCTGAAGGAGCTGGGCTTGTTTAGTCTGGAGAAGAGGTGGCTCAGGGGGAACTTCATTGCTCTCTACATCTGCCTGAAAGGGGGGTGTAGCGAGGTGAGGGTTGGTCTCTTCTGCCGTGTCTCAAGTGAAATGACGAGAGACAATGGCCTTAAATTGTGGCAGAGAAGGTTCAGATTAGATATTAGAAAAAAAAATTTCACTGAAACAGTGGTCAGGCATTGGACTAAGTTGCCCAGGGAGATGGAAGAATCACCATCTCTGGAAGTGTTCACCAGGAGTCTGGATGTGGCACTTGGGAATATGGTTTAGGGGTGATAATGGTGGTGCTGGGTTGATGGTTTAAGCAGATGATCTTGAAGGTCTCTTCCAGCCGTGAATAGCCTGTAATTCTGAGAAATGCTCAAAAGCTCAGCATACACCATAGAAGGTCTCACCCAGGTAACATGCTGACAGTCTTATTAAAGCTAGTTATACTTTCAAGAGCACCACTTGAACTGAGCTAAATTGTAGTTTCTACGTGTCTTTTGAAAGTGTAGTTGTAAATCTCAACTTGATAGTCACAGCAGAGTTAGGGTAAAGCACACTGACGATACTCACAGCCTGCACTTGGAGCTGCAGATCATTTTTCTCCTGCACCAGTTTCACCATTTTCTCCTCCAGCTCCTTCCGCTTTGCCTCAGACTTTGCAAGCTCTTCCTTGGTTTTCTCAAACTCTTGTTTCATGTTGGCCATCTCCTTCTCAGACTCTGCACTCTTCAGCAAGGGCTTGATCTTGAAGAACAGCTTCATCCAGGGCCAGTGTTTGACATTCATGAATGCACGAATGTTGTACTGGATGCAGAAGATGGACTCTCTGAAAGGTAAGTCGAATTAATATTCAGTATTTATACCCTGATGACACAATAAGCCAAGTAGGGTGAACCTAATTTGAAGAAAATCTTACCTTCTCTCCACCATTCTCTGGTACTCCACCCTCATCAGGTAACCCCTGCACCTGGCCTGTGTGCGGGTGATGAGCTGTGCCAGCTTCTCATCCCTCATCTCCTCCAAGAGGCCTACGAGCCCAGCTTTGAAGAACACCTTAGGTAAGAACATGAAAATAGGTGCAGTGTATGTGCTTGTTCAGAGTAACCTGGTGCCCTTCCCCCCATGACAGGCACTATGAGAAGTTAAGAGAAAGAGCAAAACCACAAAGAACATCTGTAGTGCCAGACTCTTTTGTAACTCCAAGCTTCTGGTTACCTGCAGCTGAGGAACTATAATAGCCAGGCATTTTGCTTTTATTTGTATTAACCCTTGATTCTTTCATTCTACAAATTTTCTTAAATTAGGAATACTTAATTAACCCTTAATTAAATCATCCTATGGCAATGAATTTCAGTTTATTCAAATGTTGAATAAAAACATTAATTGATTTCTTTTATATACAATGTTGGATCATTTTACATACTATCTGGAGTAACTGAGTGTCAGTCTCAAGCCATGCAAACCAAAAACACATGGTACTTGAAGCAAGCAGATATTGTACCTTAGTGTGACCAAATTTGTATTGAGTGTGGTCTATATCAATTGATCCAAGAAGTTTCTCACAAGCCTTCTTGCTGTCAATGAACTGTCCCTCTGGGATAGCACTGGCATTTAATACTTTGTATCTGAGGAAGAAAATGGAAGGATTTGCTTTGGACTCTATGATCTTAAGGGTCTTTTCCAACCTAAATGATTCTATAATTCTATGAATATGAAAACGTCTGTTGTTGAGACCAATTGGCTGCTACATGGAAAGAAAGAGTCTAAGAACAGCTGAGAATGTAACAGCACTTATTAAACTGAACCTACGGAGAAAGCTTTAGGCACAGGAGGGGAAAATTAAATTTTGTAAGCTACTTAGGATGGGTGAAGTGATCCAATAAGGGGATGAAGTCTGACCTCTGTTTAAAATCTGCATACAGGACTCTGTTGGGAAATCCTTTCCTGCAAATCCTGATCCCTTCCAGCACACCGTTACAGCGCAGCTGGTGCAGCACCAGTTCGTGCTCCATGGCACCTGAGCAATGCAGAGCACAGATACACACCATGTTCTGAAACACCATACTGGGAACATGCAGTGCAGATGTAAGTCTCTTACCAGGTGTTTTCGTTTCATTTGGGATGATGCAGCGCACAAAATGGGGGTGGGTGCTCCTCAGGTTGGTCATCAGCTTGTTTAAATTCTCCTGGGAGAGTCATTGAGAAAAGCAAATGTAATTTCTGCTGTAAGCATCAAGCCCTCTGAAATGAGATGTACACAAATGAGCAGAACCCTGAGCTGAAGCCCTCTGCATCAGGTTTTCTGACTTTCCTGCTATCAATATATAAAGTTCTTCTGAGCAATCTGTAGAAAATACTGTACTCTTAAACATAGAATTTTAATACATTTCACTGAGTCTAGTGGAATGCCTTTATCAGAAATTACATCCATCTTCCACAGGATGTACCCAGAGAGGTAAAGTAGTACCCTATGAGGTAATGAGTGGGAAGCATTCTGCAGTAGGCATCAGAGCTGGGTCATATGGAGCACACTACACAGAACCTTTGTGTTTTCCCTACTAAAAGCAAAAGGAACAAAACCAGGTTTAAGGTGAGATGAATCCCAGCCTTGTTTTGTAATTGATATTTGTATACTTATTTATAAAAAATTATTGTCTATAACTAGTGGAGGGAAGCAGGTGCTTCTAGAGGGCATCTCAAAGCATGCAGAGAAAACATTAGGATGCATAAACACTAAAATGTCTAAACCAGAAGGATAGTGGAAGAAAATTTAAAAACATAACAGAAATGCAACCCAAATGCACCAAACAATATTTCTCTTATATTACCTCCTCAAGTCCTTTAGATCTTTACACATAGACTTTTTGCATTATT